GATAATTTGGCCTCGCTTTGCTTGTGGCAGACTCTGTCATTATTTTGGTCGCATTTTGACATTTCACATGTTGACAGACATGATTAACAAACCATATCCTACTGAGGACACAGATGGATATGGTTCTGTGACCGAAATGTTTGCTGGGTATACATGTATGTCTTCTTATAATCCTTATTTTATTTTCCAAGCATCTAGAATGATCTCAACAATCCATTCTATACTTAAAAAAAACTGATGCAGCACCTTCTTGCATTTAAATCCAAATGGCTAGTGTAAAGAGCAATTTGTAGAGATAATATTCTCTCTGTAGTGATTGACAGCATTAACTGTTTCTAACAGCTACAAAATAACATATAATATTATCAAAAAAGATAATTACAAGAAAAATAAAACAACATTACATGTCATTTCCCCAAAAATTGTAGAAAAATGCATAAGAAAATGTATTTAATCAAAAAATTAAGATAATGGTATTTTTCAAATATATTCTGTTAAATTTTGGAGGAGAGTTACGTGTTTTTTTGTTTCACACAAACATTGTACTATATATACAATATAAATAAACCTTATATAAATGCATTATATAATACTTTTTTAAACATAAATTCCACACTTAGCAATTCAACTAAAGAATATGCGCTCACTACAATATTGTAAGTGAGCTAAAAGAGAAACAAAACTTTCAAATTATAAGAAAACAAAAATAATTTTAGTGTATATATAAAATATTTCATATTGCTCTTACATTTGCGGCGACAGAAAAATAGTGGCAATAAAAAATGTCTTTACTTTCGGGCGTGACAACTTTTGCTAATCTTTCCGACATTTCAATAATTGATTTTGATACTTTGACACAAAAATATTCCTGTAGCGAGTGTGGCCAAATTTCGGAAGCAATCTTATCAAAATGTTTATTATTTTATTTCTTAGATATGCTAACCAAGTTTACATAATAATTATATAGTAGATTAGTATTTTTGAAGTTTACATGATATTTTGACATTTACCACATGACCGTACCAAGACCAGAGCCAAAGTCAAATTGTCTTCTAGGGTTGAATTCTTTGTCACGTGTTCTGATCTCATCCAGAATCCTATATATATAACCGCATAATTTTAAACTTCTCTACCAAGCAGATACGTAAGTGAGCTTATCAAAATTAATTGTATACATTGGTCTTCAAAATTTGCCTTGCTCTTCTATCCATACGAAATCTATGTCTTCTATAGATATTTTCTGATTACGATTAGCATTCAAACATTCTTCTACTTTTTGTAATTTTTCTGGCAGTTGTGACTACTCCAGCAGCGAATGGCGACCATGCAAATGGTGAAATAATTTTTTTACACTTTTTTTCAATTCTTTCAAGCTTATGTTATTTTTTTTCTGAAAACTAATATTATAAAATGGTGTACATAAGTTATTTTTCATATATTATGACAAATGTTAAAATATACTATGACAAATTTACAATGTATTATTACATAAATGTTTGTGAACATAATAATGATATACACAATTGTGTATTCCGTACCTTTCACGATATTTTCTATTTTTTTTGATGCCCATGCTGAGAATATTGGTGTTCTAGGTTTGACACTACCAGGATGATGCCTATATTTTAGGCCATTGTTAGAAATCAAATTTAATGTTTCATCATCGAGTATACCTTTTGGCTTTGCTGACAACTGAAAATGCAAGTTTTATATTATCATATTCTAATCTTATTTAATATATCTAAGCATGTGATGTCATACAATAGAAAATTTATATCACACATTGTAAAGATACAAATCTTATCTAATGTACTATTGGCACAACTAGCTTCACCATATTTTATATAATAAAATTAAACTCCAATAAGTCAACAATTCACACATGTCATAAACAAACTCAACCTGTATGGAAAAAATAATAAAATAGCAGAGTTGGAAAGTAACGCGTTACTTGTAACGACGTTACCGTTACAGTTACTTTTTTTTTGGTAACGACTCCGTAACGACGTTACTTTTTTTTATTTGTAACAAAAGCAGTAACGACGTTACATTTCTTCGGTAACGAGTAACAAAATGAGGCGTTACTTTATCGTTACTTTCAAATTTATAATATTTTTCTTACATAACGACACCTGCAGAAAAACACTTCAATGCGTTATGCGCAATGCCAGTCAACATTATACTTTTGAAGAAAAGTAGCATATTGATTGGCTATCAAGTCGATTCTAGCCTCGCGTAACACGTCCTGTCTACAGACGCCCATAAAACAGACGCTAATCGCAGATAACATTGAATTCCAAGAAAAATTACAGACTGTTTGATTCTTTGTCTAGATCTTCATCAGTGTACAAAACAAAACTAATTAAAATTAAAAATTAAAATTAAAAATGATTGTAGTAAGATGATTGCGCACTTACAATGTGAAGCATTAATAATTTAATTATTTATGTTGTACATTGATAAAGATTCAAACAAAGAGATCGAAATTTTTTGTCTGTAAGTTTTCTTAGAATTTAATAAAAAGCACATACACGAACATTTTGTGGTTTTGCTTGCATCTATCGAAATATGTCGGTTCATCACGAGTTTATTCAATTAGTATTTACTACATTTCAATATTTAGAACATTTTGTTCATACAGTTTGATAATTAAAAAGTAATATTGTGATTTATTTTTTATTCATTTGATATTTAACTTTAGATTTGACGTTACGTTTGAGAAAAAGGAATTACTAGTTGCTTACAAAATTCAAATTGAATTGGATAGCAAGAGAAAAACATAAATTTGCAGAAAGCTATTTAGAAAACGTGTTAAGGATTCAATCAAACGAAAATTCTTCAAAGAGTGATCTAAATTCCGATGAAAACGATATCTTTTTTGTTTTCCGTCAACAAACAACACGAGATGAATCAAAGAAGAGTTGCAAAGATTTTTTAAATCCAAAAATTTAATTGTTGAAGCGTTACAAGATTATCCAAAACTTAAACAACTCTTTACCAAATATAATACTGCACTTCCCAGTAGTACAGCCGTTGAACGATTATTCAGCATCGGAGGATTAGTACTAACACCACAAAGCTCAACTGAGTTCCCGATTGGGAGAGTCCTCGCTTACTCAAAACGGTATATAAGCCAGGGCTCTCGAAAACGGAAACTCAGAAAGAATCGCGCCGCGTATCCAGAAAAACTTACTGATTCTGCCGGGAGTGCCGCAGCAAAGTCGCGACGCATACAAGTTACAAGTGCAATTGCAACCAGTGTGCCAAGAATCCACCGAATTACCTAGCCAGCCGTACGGGCCGAAGGGGTGAAGGAAATCGCACCACCAGTAGCAGCAAGTAGTAAGTCCACCCACAAATTTTAATCGGGAGTTCCACTAGTTAAAAATCCAACTCGAAGTTAATACTCGGAACCTACCAGAGACGCATAACCGCCTAAATGCATCGCGAGAATATACTCTTTTGCTTCTCCGCAATCAATTCCTCATTTGACCACCATCGCCGGGAGGGCAGTTCGCGACTCTAGTCGTGAATAGCGTCCGAATTATTTCTTTTTCCTTCCTAAATCACGGAAACAAACAAAGCCCGCTTATCTCCGAATATCAGTCTTAGAATCATGACACATCCAAATTTATTCCTATCGTTATTTTCATTGAAACCTAAGAAATGAAACAAAACAGAACTTATCAAGACACAAATCTCTGAAAGATGATTTAAGTTGTATAAACATGGGTTAAGAGGCTAGCTACACTAAAGAACTCGCACTCTCTTTCTCTCTCACACTCGCGTTCTAGCGTGTAGATTACATTGTACGAAACGATTATATGCTCTTTTATTGTATTAATTTCTGCATGTCTGTTATTAATTCATCGATTTCGATTTTTCAATAAATATAACTACTTTGTAAAATGTGGAGTCAAACTAAAGAATTATTCTTTGTTATCCTTCTTTCTGTACAATTCACTCTCACTTCCTTGTTAAAATCGCTAGGTCCCGTCCTTGGTAAATGAGATTTGCGTCTCAGACCTAAAAAGGGACCAACGAGCGAGTGTTCGCTAGACAGAGTAAGATCGACGTACGCCGTTGACCTGTCGACAAATATAAACAAACTCGTTCGACTCTCTCACAGCAGGACTTCCGTGTCTACTGTAAAGAAAGATATGGAAAACGACGCGTTTACTGTTGCGTCACACCACAGCCCGACCGTATCCATGGGCCAGGACGTAACAATATGATGATACGATAGAACATCAACTTTTATTAAAAATGAACAACCTGTATTTTTAAAAATATATCTTTCAAAAGAGATATCTTTAAGAAATTTTTCGTGATACAATATCTTTAAAAGGATGTCTCTAAAGAAAAATCTTATCTAACTTTACATTATTCATTTACAGGACATACACATATATCTTATTCTGAGGAAAGAAAGACATCTGTCCATTGTAATTAAAACTCCGAAAGTGGCCATTTTTATCCTAAATGTGTGTTATTACACTTATATAAATTATCTAAAATCTACTTAAAAATTATTTGTATTTAACATTTGTGCCTACTCTCTCTTCTGTATTATTAATAAGTACTAAGATTATTTATATCACATATGTCATATTTCATTGTTTTTATTGTTAAGTTTACATTTATGATAAAATAAAATTTTCTTAAATGTATCTAAAATTGTTTAATATATTTTAATGTTAAAAATATATATCTTTATGTATTTTTAAAATTATAAAACTATAAATATGCTTTATACAAGTTTAAATTTATTAATAAAGTTTCTTTTTCTTTAGTGTTCTTTCTAAATGTAAAAAAAAGTCGAATGATCTTTTATGGAATCACGTTTTAGTAACGGAAAGTAACGATTCTATACTCGTTACTTCTAAGGAACGGTAACGCGTTACTTTTTACAATCGGTAACGAGTAACTTTTTTCAATGGATAACGAGTAACGGTAACACGTTACTTTTTAGAAGTAACTGTCCCAACCCTGTAAAATAGTATAACTATATTAAATAGTATAATTATATTAAAAAATTTATAAAACAAATATAAATACAAGAGACTGTAGAGACACGTTGCTAAATAAAACTACTACGTACTATTAACAATCACGCGAATGTTTGTAATGCGCTACATAACCTCAACGAAATTTGAGTGATCTTTCGATAGAATTTACGACATGCTAACAAATACCGTAATACGTAACAAAATAGCAACAGAAATTTAACTGTTGCTTAAGCTTACTGAAAAACTCGCGACATGACACGAATACGTACCTACAATGCATCGCCCGATGAATTCATTGCTCCAAAAATAATCCAACGTGATAAGTAATCTCGTTTGCGCGTATGACCGAGTGTCGCGTGCAGTGCACGTCAAGCGCGTCCTAATCGTCGTTTTGAAGCCTATTTTTCGACTTAATAAGTATGAAGTTCGCGGAACCTGAGTGATCACATCACACCGGAATAGAATACATCAATTACGAAGTAAGATTTTATCATTGACAAATACCCTATCATGTGAATACAGTTCTGCATACATATTTTGCGTTACATACTTTTACGTTTTGCGCAATATTTGTGTTTTATAAACATATTTGTGCACTTATGTATACATATGCATGTACATAAGTTTAATAAAATAAATGAGTTTAATAAATAAGTTTTGTAAATATACAACAATAGTGATTTTATTAAAAAAATATATGATTATATTGTTTGTAATATATCTACAATATATGTATAGAGTTATTTATGCATAAAAAAGAAGAAAAATTAAAATAATAAAAAAAATATGGACTATATATTAATTGTATATATAATATAGAGTTATTTATGCGTAGTAAAAGGTAAATTAAAATAATAAAAAAATATAGCAAATACACTCTTAATAATTGCATAAGTTCTCAAAAATAATGGATTTAATATAAAAATCCATTTACATGTCTATCTGTCATTTTTATCATGGAGATAAACTTCACACGGAGCTATATAAATATTTTCTATGCGATAATAAACGACCAATTAGATAAATAATGAAAAGCATAGCAAATATATATTTTTTAATAATTTATTAAGTCTTGGAAAATACATATATCTGATAAATATCTATAATATACGTCTAATGGATGTCCATGATAGATTTTTTTATGGATATCTATAGTGGACGTAGCATAGATATGCATTAAACGTCCATTCATCATCCATCATGGAGATGGAACTGTGGATGTTGTATGGACCTCTAATAGACGTCACGTTCTGTGTAGGTAGATAACAGAAAAAATAGGTATTTGTGATACTAATCTAGCATCTTATATGGATTTATGAATTGAAAATTTTCAATTCCAAAATAATCATATGTAAAAATTTACACTTCTAAAATATAAATATATTGAGATAAATTTTTATTCCGCAAAACATCCAGCGTATCGGCTTTTATTATCTATTGAATTTTGTTGTTAGTTTAAAAAATGTTATATATATATATATATATATATATATAAAATATATAGTGTCCACATTATATATAAAGTTAAAATATATTTAGTGTATATATAAGTATCAATATTTGTATTTATTATTAAAAAACGGTTTGCAAACAAAAATGCAACACCCATAAGTGTAGGAAATCCATAATTTTTTTCTAATATGTATGTAAATAAAAATAATTTTAGTATTATATTATATATAAATAATTAGAAAGTTTTTTTAGTCTAGACGACACCTTTGACTCAACAACATTGCTTTATTTGACTGATAATGTCGTCACTCTATTTTCACGAGATTTTGGATTGAAGAACTCTGATGAAGACATAAAACAAAAGTCGAAACGTCTGTATTATTTGAAACCCAATACATCTGCATAACATCCAGCAACCAGTTCAGTAACGCCTTTTTATTTCATATTCATGTTTATTATTACCTAAACCTGAGATTATCTTTTGACATCAACCACTCATTTAAAGTTTTTTTATATTGTTTGAAATTTGTTTTAAAATAAAAAAATTCATACATACAGTGCGGAGCACCATATCGTGCGCCGTGAGGAGAAGTAGTTCTCCTCCGGCCGCCTCCTACTATCACGCGTCAGCGGCCCGCGATTTAATCCATATATCGGCACGGTTACCGATGATACATACCGACGCGGTTACCAATAATACCGACAGGCATATGTTATCATAAAACTATCGTGAACAT